CACCGTGGCACTCTACTAAGGGCTACATAGTTAGACTCTGTCTAAAGAATAAAACAAACAAACAAACAAACAAAAACCCATGAGATTTGGAGGGGTCAAACATCCAGACCATATCAGGCCTTAAGAGATTAAGGTACTCATCCAAAGTCAATCAGCAAGGAAAAGTTGGAGGTGAGATATAAACCCAGATTATATTGAAGTTTCAGTGTTATAGAAATTTATAAACAACTACTGCTTCCAAAAGTGAAAGCCTCTCCACAGATTCTGGGGAAACACTCGATTGTCCTGTGGAGCAGTCCAAATTCTGGTGGCATTTCTCTCTCTCTGCTGCCAGCCTTCTAGACTCTTTTTGGCTGAGACCAAAAACTCCAGGCAGGAAAAAGACAAGATTAGGAGAGAAAACGTCACACAGCTCAGAATTCTAGAGAATCAAGTGAAAGTTTCCCGGACCAAACATGAGATGGTCTTAAAATCAAATATCTTGGGTTCAGTCTCAGACCTATGCCCCTCTGGCCTTCAGAGATTTTCCTCACCCTCACAGTGTAACTGCAAGATCAGTCTATGTCTGCTTCCCTGTGGTGTTCAAATTTCCCTTCAGTGTCTCAATGAATCATGAGCTGTTAGTCCTCCCAGAGGCTTTAGAGATTATCCAGTCCAATCCCTTCAGTTTATACATTACACATGAACAGTAGTTAATGGCAGAGCCACTAGGATGTTTCTCTTTGCTTCAGGAAAAAAAAATCAGTTGGATGTGGTGGTGCACACCTGTAGTCCCAGCTACTCCAGAGGCAGAGGAAGGATGATCACTTGAGCCTAAGTGTTTGAGGCTGCTGCAAGCTATGATGATGACATGGCCCTCTAGCCTGGGTGACAGAGCAATACTGTGTCTCAAAAAAAAAAAAAATCATCTTATGCTAAACACTGATGTAAAAATTATTTCCTTTGATTGCAAAACTCAGAAAAGAATCTTATAGCTTTTGTGTACACTGAGAATCTCTGTAGAACCTTTCATATTTTGATCCATCTGCAGTACCCCCTTTGTGGCAGTGGCATATGGAGGTTAGGGGGTGTAGAGAGCAGAGTAGTGCTTTTCTCTAATGCTGAGAACAGGAACTGCTGCTGCTGGCCTGCACTTCTGTTTTCTGATCTGGCAAACGAGCTTCTCTACCATGTTCAAGGCCATCAGCCATCCATTTTGTCTGCCAGGCTACTTCTTGGCCTGACCCTCTAGCAGTCAGAGCTGAGCTGATCTTTTTGTCTGCATACCTGGGACATATGCTTTGTGGAGAAGGGCCTGCCAGAGGGGAGCCAAGACTTTCCCTCCTAGAGCCCTGCAGGTGAGGGTAGCAGTGCCAGGTCCATTCCAGAATCTCTTGCACTTACTCTCCATTTGGAACTGTGAACATCAGTGCTTTGTAGCTAGCTCGGGGCAGTAAGCAGGGGACAGGCAGAGGAAAGCCTTCAGAAAGTAGAAAAGGTCACTGCTCTTCTGCCTAGTCACAAGCAGCTGGCCAGGCCACTCAGCCACATTGCTCACCCTCTTTTAACCACCCGTGCAGCCGGTTTCCTGGGTGCCACCCTCACTTCCACCCCTGTTTAGGAACCAAACCCCTGGTTTGGAGAGCCTGGTAGGTTCCCATAGCAATGGGCCTTTTAGCTGTTTCCATAGCAACCAACACCCAGACCATTTAGTTGCTAGTCAACTGACAGCTGTAAGTGAATTGGATCCAGCTTAGAATCTAGGGATAGGCTGGGGGATTCTCTTCAGAGAAAAAGACATGACCACCCCAAACAACCCAACTCCTTTAAAGACTTAAAGATAACACCTGTGGAGATCCAGAGCCACTTTCTACCTTGGGTCACCCAACCCTGCCCTCACGGCCATTCTCTCCACCCCCACCCCCCCGCACAAACAAACTCAATGAGTATCCCAGGCCTTTAGATGGTTGTCTTAACACCCTCCAACTTCTACTTCTGGTTTGTCTCTTTCCAGAAGGACCTTGGGAAAAACACTTGTTTAATGTGACTCTCACCTTGGCAACTTTTTTAGACATGATTCTTTCCTCTGTGACATGACCCTGTCCTCTACCAACTCAGTCATTTCAGCCTTGCCTTTTGGATTATCTGAAGCGAACCGCTAACCTCAAACTGTCTTTTCTTAATCAACCTTACCTATTTCAAGCCACCCTTTTTTGTCTTGGAGTGTTCTCAGAGAACATTCTGTTTTATCAACCTTTGCAAGGTATAATCAAGATCATCCTGTTCCTTTAAAAAAAAATCAGCTGTGATTTCAAAACCAAACATGTAGAATTTGAAATTATTCCATGCTTATTGGTTTTTATTAGCCTAAAGATTTGACTGGATGCCAGGCCTTACACTTAACCTTCTCCTAAACTGGGGACACTAGGTGTTGGGTTCCCTTTATTCTGTAAGCAAGGGGGCCCTTCATTACTGTTTTTTTAGTAACAGCTAGAATCTAAGATTTATCTGCCTTGGAATTCATGTAAAATAAGTTTGGTCTAAGCCTCCAAGGCTTGCCAAGTGGACTAGAAAAGCATGAGCCTGTCATTGGAAAGAGCATGACCTTTTTTATATACCTAAGATGCAGCGCTTCTCACTGTTTAATGACTCAGGAGGGGGGTATCTGTGAACTGTCTGTAGAAGACGACCTTTCAAACTAATCCCCCCTATGGGAGCCCTACCTACCTAGCCTGCTGCTGCAGGCTCACGCAGCCTCACAATGGCTGGTAAATAGTCACAAACTGTGTGCTCCCTTTCTGTTCTGTATTTATACTCTATCTTAACCAGTGTTTCTTCACTTTTTTTTTGAGACAGAGACTCACTCTGTTGCCCTGGGATAAAGTGCCGTGGCATCATAAGTCACAGCAACATCAAACTCCTGGGTTTAAGCGATCCTCTTGCCCCTAGCTTTAAAGGAGATAAGTGACATGAGGAATCTTCTGTGAATAGTAGGCAGCAAACACATGAGAACAGAGCTTCTCTAGAGCTCTCAGAAAGTTTCTGCGCAGAAGATAGCCTTGGTTTTCTGGGGAGACAT